GTGCTACCAAGTGCAGCGGGACTGCCGTAGCTTAGCGCTTGAGGAAGCGTAATTTAGGCCACCGACCTTTCGTTCTTTACAAGAACTTATACGAGTGTAGCGGATCGCAATCTGCTAACTCCAAGAGTAGTTACTACCTTAACCAAGGCCAATAAACTCTTCGGTTTAAATTCAAAGTTGATTTTTATTTATTTATATCTTCGGCTTAACCGCTAAATTTTAAATGTAGAGATTTTACTATATATATATATATAGTAAAAGCTAAATACATGCATAACTACTGGCTACATAGCCATATACCGATTTCTTGTTTGGGTGCAGTCACACCATGCACATCTCGTGCGACACATCCCCCTTTTACCATGGTACGTGTAACCTCGTTACAAAGTGGGCTCATCTTTGCACATCGAGCAAGTGCCGATGAGAGACGAACCTCTCGTGACTGGCTCTTGCAAGATCTCTTGATTTGTGGCGATACGTTATATGGCTCCCAAGACTCGACGTGCGGCCGATTTAAGATGGGCTAGATTTTGAATGTGTGATTAAAATAACGCCATCGCACTGGTTGCTTTGGGGCGCTCCCAGCTTTTCAGAACGGTGTTGCTATCCCAGGGTAAGGAACAGCGTAGCTAAAGAGGACAGATGGGACTCTTCATTGTCCCTAACAGACAAATTCACATCCGACTGGCTTGTTAGAGCGGGATCGCGGCAGCCTACAAAGAGCAAAAAAATTCGTTCGCAATCTCTGTGATATATCGGGCTTGTAGCCCATTCTCTTTCTGGATACAAATTGTGAACGGTCCAAGGTAGCGAAGTCGCTACTAAGTCTTACAGACGGCTGACTTTGCATGTCATCGCATTTGATAACCTTTTCTCCTCACTGCATAAATCATGTGTGCTCCGTCTGCCTGTGTTATCTGTTTGCTACTCCTGTAAATCCTGGCGCTCAGCCACAACGTCGCGCACTGAAGCATCACGCTCAATCTCATTAAGATGAGTTTTATGAATTGGTTTTGGAGTATAGCCGGGTTGATGTCAACAATTCCAAATGAATTCACAGCCTCTTTCCAACCAAAACTGTATACACGTGGTTGCGGTGCAAAAGAACCTTAGGAGATCTCTAAAGCATTCATATCAAATATGCAAATCAGTAGTGACGTGGAAAGCGTTATTCTAGGCAAACATCATAAATGAAAGCATTTTCGCTTCAGCCTCAGGATCTTTCCGCACAAGTACTAAGGATAATATTCTCCACCTAGCACTTAATTTTTCCCATCCAACCATCAATTGACGGATAGTCAGCAGCAGTAATTGCATGAAGCCACCATACCTTGGCTGTGAGGCGCAGATCAAGGTCCGGCATGTAACGTGGTAACATGTATCGTTACGCTTTCAATGGTCTGTTGGTAGTCAGGAGATAAACGGTGCTAAACGATTTTCTATGGGTCGCACAAGCTGGTGTGACCGTACATAGGTGTGAAATACACAAGTTGGTGTAATCACATAGTTGTGTGGCCTTGCCGTTACAAGCGCTACGGGGCAGGATTGCCATTAGTAATTAGGTTAAGTTAGGTTTTACTCTATTAATTCGGTATTACTAAATTAATTAGGAATCACTATATTAATTACAAAAACCCAAAGTTTTAGATGCTGGCGGCTCTGCCGCAAGTAAACAATTAAAGTCAGTTTCAGTTTTAAACAGAAGTATTCGTTTGCTTATGTTAAGGTTTTCAGGACTCTTGGGGGGGGGTTACTGCGATCCGCTGCATTCGTACTGGTTCTTGTAAAGAACGTAAGGTCGAGGACCTTGGCTAAGCTTCCTTTAAGCAAAGAGCTACGGCAGTCCCGCTGCACGACATATGGATACTGTAAGACATAATGGAGGAAGATACTCTCGATAACGGTATCACATACAGCAGCAAGATGGACAACTTCGCTCAGACGGCCCACGAGACCAAAATTTAGTCACACCAAAAGTGACTTGTGATAGACCAAGAATAATACAACCACTAATAGACTGCGACGACGCATGCGGCGAGGGGATTGTCCCTTGCGAGAGGAACAGAGATTGATCTCGCTTCATTATTCAGCGTTTTACTGTGATAAATATGTTAGCATCTGCACTTCGTGGATCATCTACGAAAACTGCTAACATTGAGTAACATCTTTTAGTTGTGCAAACAAAGTTTATTATAGCTATCTTGTTGCTAGATGTCACTCCATGGCGTATGAGATCGTAGCTCGCATGGGATATGTCAGTAATACCAAGGGAGAGGAACAAAGGTTGATCTCCCTTCATCATTCAGCACGTTACTGTGATAAATATGTCAGCATCGGCACTTTCCCAAATGTGCACTGTGTAGATTGTCTTCTAAAACTGCTAATATCAAGTGACATCTACTGGTGGTTCAAACAAAATTTTGTTGCTTGAGTGCCACCTAACGTTGAGTGTAGCGGATTTGTGCTGTAATGTCTTGGGATAAGGGCTAATGGTGCTATCGAGCCGCCAAGAGCATCATTAAGTGCGCATCAGAGTTGTTAAAGTAATGTTTCCGAAGCTTTCAGCGCCGCGACAAATGTCGCGCCCGACCCGTACCGAGTATGTCTTGTCTCAATAATCGTTTGTGTCTCCGGCGTGATATGCGGCCATATGGAAAGGTGGCGGCTTAAAAGCGTATTTTTCACCAAATTAAATCGACCCGGTTATTACCTTACCCTGAAGGTAAACTTCACAAATGGGGATAACAAACCTGTCATATCCTACCGCAACGCTGCAGAGCGCAACGAAAAATAATCGGTATGGAACTAAGGATTTGAGCCAAGTCAATGAACCCTGAACTCAAGTAAAGTTAAGGAAGCAGCTTGTTGTCGTGAGCTAAGTGCGCTTCTTAGTCGCTTTGTACAGATGAGACTTAAACACGATTGCGCGTTAATGTTCACGGCCTTTGCTTGGCGTACAGCGTAACCTATGGAAAAGGCTGATACGTAGGATTGACCGACTTCAATTTGGAGAAAAGAATCGGGGCACTCATGATACTCATTCGTACAACCATGTCAGCTGCCTCGTACGTACCGATGCTTAAGCTGGGTATGGCGTGGATGGAACGTCTCAAGTCAAGGGTGACAAATGGCTAAAAGTATAAGGTTCACGTACTTCACATCTGGTGGAGCTTCAGTAAGTCAAAGACAATCTCTGCTGGGGCAGGAGCGCTTTGGCGCGTATGTGAAATTATTTTAGCTCAGTGCGGGACAAGAAATTGACAGAGTCGTCTCGTAACAAAATTTCTAGCAGAATTTGATGGACAGAGGTGACGGTGAGCCGCGGCCAGAAAAAAATCGAAGAGATCATTTATCGCTGTCTCCAAAGTGTTGTCTGGTGATACTTGAATCAGAGATAGCGTGACGTGAATTTTAAGAGACTCTTCTCACGAAAATGCTTGAAAACCGCTGACCACTTAGAATCTCCTGTACCAGAGCCGGTGGCGCCAAAAGATAAATCTTCGTCACCAACTTTCCCTTTGACGGGTGACTTAAAGTCGATATAGAAAAACCAATCTTTGAGTACCTTACATGTTATAGTCGTACCGTTGATTCAGCTCTGCTCTATGACGTCGTGACCTGGCAGATTGATGAAGCTCTACACGTTCGTGGCAAGAACGAATATCCACTTGTGAATTAAGGAATATTGGCTGTAAGTCCCCCCACTATCCCCAGCAGAAGTTGTTAGTAGCCTGAAAATAACCTCTTAAAAATGTTTTCGAGGCGTTGCCGAGCGGCGAAGTCACAATATTGGTTCGGCTGGTGTCGTAGGAGGAGCTCATTTGTCAAAAATGATTCGTCGTTTAGAGCACTAGTAGATTGGCTAGTCTCAAGACTCATACAGATCTATTCTGCTTTTTGTTAAAAGAACGACATGGCGTGGTGAGAAGAAAACCGCCACCCCGTGTTGTTCCCGAACCAAAGAGTGCATCACAAGATTGACTTTGTTCCCTTAGCAAATACGGTACCACACGTCAAAGACTTTTTCCAAAACAATCACGTGACTTCAACTTTTTTCAATTCGAAACAGTAAGTTTGGTAAAATAGTAAATCTTACCACTTGACACCGACGTTTTTAATGAGAACGGCTAATGTGATGTGGCAAAACGAGTAAGTTGGTATAGGGTAAATTTGGCCAAAATTTTGCGGGAACATCGATTCCTAGAAAGATCTACTGAAAAACAGCATGATGAATTGTGCTTGATTCAGTGGTCATGATCGTTCACTACTCGAAATATAATGTGACATCTCTTCGAAAGCGGTGAGTATTTTGAGTTATATTTTGGAAGCGGCCGCTTCTGCCCGAGGGATTGTCCATCGCACCAGTGACATTTAATCGTCTGATGCCGCAGCTGTTCGAGCAATATCGTGCCTATGAAGACACCAATTTTGACGAATTTGTATCTGGAGAACTGTAGAGCATAGAAATTTCAATTCTGATATCTATAAAAACGCTTGTGAGCAATGCTCGAAGGTTGATGATTGAAAAGGCTCTTCACCTACATAATCAAGTGTGTTATCGGCGATGAAGAAATCCCTATCTATGAATATGAGCAGGCACTTGGACAGGCTAAGTGCCTGCTCAAATAAAGCGTAAGTTTAGCGCATACAGCACGGCCCACCACCAATCTTCAGGAAAAAATTAACGGTGCTGCGGTGTGACCGATTCGGTTCCTTCCAAATCAAAATCGGCGATTCCTCGACGCATCAGCCTTTGTCAATAATTATGCTTTACTTCCAGCACAGACCGATTGACATGAATGCTTAATCATGTTTGTGCCTCGCCGGTACAAAACGGCAAATAAAGGCTACTGAGCTCACGACAACGTGCTGCTTCCAAGGATATAATTCCGCATTGAATGCCAGTAGCCACCTTGGAATAAGAGCATTATGGCTTGTTAAGCACTAGGTACTGCCAGCTCGAAAAATTGGGGAGGGTGAAGCGTGTCCACGAATAAATCGAATTCAATATGTGCCGGTGTATTTGGACAGCCGGCTTCGGCAGGGCGTTGCAGCCCAGGGATCGAGCTTGATTCTTTGTCATCCAAACGACGCGTGTAGGAATTCCGAGTTTGCGGGCTTAAGAGCCGCACAACTATGAGTCACTTTGCTTTGTATTCAACTTGGCTTTCAGATGCCGTATATCGAATTGTTTCGCGATCAACAGCGAAATCTCGGCGAAATCAGGTGACACATTCCACAGTTGGCTACCACGACATGAAGTAGCTGCTTGATGAAGAATATTTTCCAAAGTACTCGTGCGGAGCGATCGCAAGGCTGAAAAATAACATTTCCACTTTTGTGTTGATACAGCTGTCACGCCTCTAAAGGCTTTGCTCATCTGATGTGAATGTTTTAGAGATCTACTTGCTTTCTTTAGCACCGCAACAATGTGTTTGTAGTCTGGATTCATAAAAAGGCTTTGCATGCAATTGAACTCACTGATATAAACCCGGTTACACTTTCAAGTAGAATCACAGTTTTATTTCGACGTGATGCGCCGAGTACGAGACGCTGTGACTGAGATCCAGGATGTACAGATGTAACATACAGGTCCCACAGGCAGAAGGAACATGCATGATTATGTTGTGGTGAGAAAGGCTTTTCATATCGAAAACATGAAATTTTTTCAGCATGTAAAAGTAAGTTATGACTTCGCTTGTTTGGATCTTTTTACGGTCATATTCGGGATGGGAATGAGCTGTGAGCCTAATATATCGAAGAAAAAAGCGAACGACTTATTTGCACTTCTAGAGTAAACCCTAAGATAGCGACACGGGCTTGAACCGCTAAAGACATCCTGTGCGATAGCGTAATTTTGCTGCACGCCGAGTCTTGTGGAAATATATAACTTGTATAACTTGTCGCGGCACTGAGAGATCTTGCAAGAGCCAGCTACGGGAGGATCTTCTCTCATTAACACTGCTCGATATGTAATGATAAAACCACTTTAATGCAAATCAGTAGTTGCTTGCGAGATTTTCAGGGCTGTTGCCAGTATCCGATGAAGTAAGAGGATTCCCTCACTCCATAAAGACACATAGTCGGGGGCATGATTGCTCTGGCTCCAGTGACCTTAATTATTTGGTGCATCGATTTTTATCCTTCTTTAAAAAGTAAATATTGCCACCCAGCGCAACATGCTTCTGACTTGTCCCAAGTTCGGATCATTGGTTTGTAGCTGTATTCGTAGGCTTACAAAATTTATCGGGGGTTGTTGATACAAGATGCTAAGGTTTTAAGTTGTTACCTTGACGTTCATGTTGTGTTTCTAACTTCAAAGGGCAAGCTTTCCACGCCGCACAAGTCGGACGTCTGCTTCACCGAACCTGGTTTGTAAAGCGGTAGGATGAGTGGGGCTTAATGCGAACATCGCCGGCATTTCTCCGTGTTTCAGTTACCCTTGTTGAGTATATGGTTCGATTCGCCCGCTGCCGCCTTGAGCGTAAGCGATACTCTTGAGGGATAGTGGGTCATCTGAAGGATGGGAAAACAATTATAGATCACCTTATGATCCCATAATTTACTTGGTTTAGCATGAGGCCAGCGCGCATAGATTTGTAGGCGGCGCGGTGAGCAACTTCTGCTCGACTAAATCCATTGAAGATTAAATTTTTCAGAGCGTTTTAGCTACATTTTCGCTTGTAGACGAGCAAGTTCGGCTCGACGATTTAGATTAAGCTCATTTGCAACGAACCGAACGTCGTTGTGAGACCCCTCGGGAGGTCAAAACACATTTTGCCTCGAGAAATTGACACGGAGTATGCAATTGATACTGACGATAGACGAGGCATTAAAATCGGCTCTTCTCTAGTGGACATCTCTCTTGATCATGACCGAGATGTCGAGTGAACAAGTCATTTTGGCTTATATCTTCAGGGAATATTCAGTCGCTTCACCAAGCATTGCTGCAAAGTCGTTAGTCTCAACCACCGCATCATTTTCAGGTGCTCGTTAGGCCATGAAGACACGCGAGGAAAAGCACTCTCTACGCGGATAAGGCTTGTGATATAAGGTTGCGCAAGTAGCAGACACTCACCTTTGAGCGATGTTTTTGAAGAAGAAGTTAGCGTGAAACCCGGAGTAGTTCAAATTGTGATGGGGGAGGTGTAACGGGGTACATCCGTTCAGGGATACGTACACATTCACTTCTGTGCAATTGTTCATAACGTACATTACATTTTTGTGTATCCGAGCGAAACTTAGAGGCATCATCGTTTTGGTTATAAAGAGCTTAGTCTTCAAGTCATGCAATAATTGTTTATTGAGCACAGTAGAAATAACTTCAATATAAGTCATAATCAGAGTTAATTTTGATAAATGTCATTTTTATACAGAACTGAAGCAGATCAGCAGTAATGAAGCCATAAAGCTTTGCTCCTAAGTAGAAAGTACGAAGCCATTCTTTGTGCAGACTGTTCCGAGTTATAGTGTACTCTGTGCAACGTGCACGACAATCCCGTTTGACGTTCTGACGACCGAATCTGTATAAAGCTATACACGGCGAGAAGGGATGGCCATTCTGCAACTCTCTGCGAGAACTGTGGTGAAGATACCAATGTAAGCATCAACGCATTATCTGCACATATCACGAATGGCTTCGAGCCAATCAGGTGTGATCTCAACTTGACAGTAGCAAACTACATAGAAAAAATTAAAATGAAATTTAATTCCGCTTTATGATAAAGTGGCTTTAACGCAATGCCGATATCATGTATGTTTGCTTCTGCTTGAAGTAAATAATGTACTATGGCAGAGGCGATGATATGAATGTCCGATCCATATTTGTAAAAGCTAAAATTAAAGCACTCAGAAAGCTTATATTTAGTCGTTTTTTCCTCACCATATTACTCAATTGACTTTTTTCTCAGGGAGATTGCTGAGGGACTGCGTCGTGTCGACATGAATCGCACTATATTTACGAAAATCAATTAGCCGATCCACCTCCTTTTGACCTTCGAAACGAAGGCACTGGTATTGACGTTGGCCTTGAGTTTTTTTATCTGTCCACAGACCATGCTTTTTAATATGCATTCCAGGAAAGAGACTTTGTCGATACCACAGACACATTGTGTTCCTCGTGCTCTGCATAAAAAGTAATCTAATATTTCGTCGAAACAAGTATTTTTATAGGCACGATGAGGCCAATCCAGCTGTGTGACCACCACACGTACGAGCTCTAGAGCTTGACGCGGATGATCGATACGAGCCTTAACATCAGATTTCTCATGCGTGACCTTACTAAAAGCAAAACAAATCATCAAAGTTATTTGGTGCAAATGTTCGCAGATGACCATAAGACTAAAGGTCGCAAGAGCAATCTCCAGTCCTTATAGCATTACTAGTAATTTCAACAAAGTACTGACTGCAGCTAGTGGAACATCGATTATAATCCATATCTGGGCAGGCAATCTGATATATGGAATACACCTTCAGATCGATAGAGCAAATTACAATGCTGGAGTTTTACAGCCCGTAAAAATACCCCTGGTTACGAGAAGAGTATTTTTTCGCCACTTACGCATGGAGCACCACTGCTTCGCACAGAAGGCCCGTCACACAGTAAATGTAACGGATTTACACGTACTCTTGTATGAGACGACGGGTCGCACTAGATGGTGCGACCATACATATGTGTGTATGACACAAGTTAGTGAGAAGGCACAAGTTAGTAAGAAGGCACCACTTGACAGGATTGCCAGTAGTAATGCATATTACAAATTCAATAAGGATTGCTATATTAACCAGGTGTTACTATATTAATAAGGAAGACCTAGGATTTTAGATATTGGCGGCTTTGACAGTTTCGATTTCGAACATAAGTGATCGTTTGCTTTCATTAAGGTTTTTAGTACTTAGAGGTAAGGTCGGTGGCCTTAGCTTAGCTTCCTCGAAGCAAAAATCTACGGCAGCCCCGCTACTGTAGTGCTATGTCACATCGTGACAACAATAAGTCATATTGTTATATGCGAGGCCTAGCCCCTCTGCTCGCGACTCACAGGCACTAGTCAGCTCTAGTCGCTCTGATACAGGTGACTGCGACACTCAGTCACTTCCACTGTTAACCATTTTGAGCACAATACCTCACAGCTGTGCTTTACCGTTCCGCCCGAGATGCACTATGGGGTCCACAACAAACAGTCGTCGTTTTCTGACTCAGCATCGCTTTACAAGCGTTCTTCTTTGCCTCATCCTAATACCGCGGCTCGCTACCGCCTCTGCCTTCCGAGCTCTGCTAGAGGCACCTAGCAATGTCATTGCCTTCAATTTGAGCAAGCCCACGAAGCGATCATAACTTGGTTTCGCAGCTTGCCCGCACCTAAAGCGCTTGTGCTACCTTGTAGAGGTGAGCATGACTCGCTAGAGCTCCCCTAAGAGGAAAATTTGAGGCAACTAGCTAGACTTCCTGTCGACCCGTGGCTCGTGACGCCCCAGGCACGCCACACCTATAATAGGATCGTGTCTAAAGTCCACGGTTTGTCTTCTGTGCATTAGTAAACACAGACTCGAAGTTTCCAAAGGTACCTTAGGCGAAATTGATTGGCAATTAGTTGCCGATATAAATTTGTCTCTTTCCTAGTATGAACAAATTTGTTAAATGATATGCATCAATTTTTCGACAATTGACATGTCGCTTTTATTGCCTCTGGCGTAATTGCAGTGATACTTGTACTTGTAGGCGTCCCAGAAGTCTTCCACCAACTGTCAGCGGTACACATACGTCGCACTTTTTGTTCCTTCCTTCGATACAAAACAAACCCTGGCCAAAGAGCTTTTCCGGCAAAAACGATCCAGAACTTTTGTGCGATATCAACGCGGACTTCGAAGCGAGAGAGTGAACACTGATCTTTGTCGAAGGCGAGCAGCAACCACTGGATACATCTGAAGCGGATGCAGTTCTAGACATTGTGCGTCCTCGGCTTAAAGAGCGAATTACAACAGCTACGTGCTTTTTGTCACCAGCGTCCGCCATAGTGTGATACCGTAGGCCGTCATTAACAAAGTCACGCCATTTAATAGTGTGGAAATTAGACGAAGGCGTGAGAGCCGATGTGACTCCAAAGCGTCGATATTTTCCGCTTTTGTTCCCACCAAACGTCAAGTGCCCGGCTACTTCATGCAGCTTGCGTTGGTGTGCAAAGACATCTTCACACGGCAACGGAAATAGAAATCCAACTTCGACCTGATCAGCACGTTCAAAATGTGTCGCGTCAACAATATGTACCCAATGTATTGACTGAAATTCGACCCTAAGTCGCAATTCACACGCACCAGGTACGTCTTTCATTCGTGCACCAGAAAATGTGCGATTCAAACAGACGATCAAGGGGTTGTTTTCGGTTAAAATTGCGTTCCAGAGATAGTCTTCTGCCAGCAAAAATTCTGAAGTAGCTCGTTTGAAAGAGCTTAATAGCTTGACCTCAAAACAGGCTGACACTGGCTTGTGATCCGATGATGTTACTGCCTCGCAAGAATTGTACGACAGGCACTGAAGTGAGTCCCGGACGCCATCTAGCGAACTATAAAGCACACGATCTGTATACGAGGGTACTCGGTATCCACCGTGAGTGGCGACAAGCGAATAGTTTTGCTGAAATGAGGCCGCGTCGAGCGGGCCCCGTAAAGTTTTCCCTCGTATTCGGCGAAAGGTAGGAAAGAATGTAATTTCGTTCTCCTGAAAGCCATGAAAGATTTGTTGCGAGCGGCATAATTGATATAGCTCATCGTGCTCCTCAACTAATGTCCGAAGCAACGGGGGTATCACAGTATTTATCTCGTCGCTATTGCTTGACATTCGTCTGTTACCAACCTTACCGTCCCTATAGCATCTGCGCGTAAATGTATTTCGTTGTCCACTTTGTTCTTTAGGCGTTATACATTGTCGAAAGTCGCATATATCAATGTGTGACGAAAGCTCGTTCGTCGACCGTTGCAAAGAAATTGGTGGAGCCAAATCAATCGTGTGATTGTCAGCTCTCACATTCTGATCTGTTCCAGCATGGAGAAGAAGCTGGAGCATGTCCTTTGGAGTCACACATTTGCAGGTCATACGATAGTTGAAATCACCAAGAATTATACTGTGATGATGTAGATGCGAGAATCCAAAGCCATAGTCTTCTTCATCCAAGTACAACTGCTGCAAAATTTCCATGGCATCTTGATTGCGCCGCTTTACTTTGCTTGGCGGTAAATCAGCATCTTCAACAAGATCATCAGATGCTGAAGGTTTGATATCTCCATCACTATCACGTGCAATATTGCTACTTTCACTTAAGTCTACGGATTTATCGCTTGCTTTTTTACCTGCCCGTGATATTTTCATCTGTTTGCATCGCTTCAAACGCGACGAATCGGATGCTAAGTGGCACGTGACAAACGCGAATGACGTATCGTCGAAACGAAACGACAGACCAACAGCTCCTTTGTTAGATGCGCGGCCGAACAAAAGCAGCGACTTGCCTCGAAATACTTCTTGGGTAGTTTTGTTGCATCTCTGACGGTAAGGCATTCGGAAGCGTCCTGATGTAATCGCTGTAGCTCGAACGAAAAGACAGAGTGCAATATAACCATGGTACCCTAAAGCTGTCGCTCGCCTGCCGATTTCGCGCTTAAAGTGCATATATTTACCAGAAGATCCGGAGACAAGGTGGCGGAGTATTTTGCTTTGCAAATCTGCAACATCCATGCACTCTTGCACACCTATGACATATACGTCTTGCCCTAATGGGATCCATTCACGCTGATAATAATCACCACAGAATTAGTAATTCGGCTTTTGAAATCATCAAGGAGCAGACACAAACTTCAGAAGTACCAGCTCGCGTTCATTAACATCTTTTTCGCCCATGTTAAAGGTAGAGGCAAATATGGCAATTTTAGGCTGTTCTTTTCGAGCAGGGGATGGTGAGTGATTTGTTGAAAAGCGCTTTTGCAGCCGCTGCTGCCAAGTGCAGTATGTATGGCTCTGACCATCATGAACTATGTGAGATTGAAATGTCGCTAAATGTGCACTACTTGACTCGGGAGAAATTTCACGATCTGATTGGATCGCATTTCCAATCCTTTCAGGCAAGCAAGATTCGAATTCTGGATCAGTCTCAGCGATGGCAATGCGCTTCTTATCAGCCTTGTCCATAACGCTTTCGGTCGGTGAAGATATGCTCTCATCCCGCGAAGGTGGCACCTCCTGAATACTTCGACGACAGATGCCACCGTATACAATCGAGTTGGAAAATCCATTGAGATCCTGGATTACTTGCATGAAGAGACCAGCATTTATGCTGACAATACCGCTAGCTTCAAAAACTTTTAATACATTATACACCACACTACTATTATTTTCATTTTCTCCCACGACATGAAAATAAAAGTTGCGAACCTACTACGATAAATCATCATTGGGGTGCGGTGACCAATAAAAACGACAATGTACAGCAACAATTTGCGGCGAATGAGCATGGAAGACGTGTCAGCCTCCACCGTATCTTGTCTACAAGCATCAAATCCAATTAAGATGTGTCAACAAGAGACAGAAAGTAGTTGTTGCTTTCGCACGCACCTAGCAACTCGCTTTTTCATGTTGATGTGAATTAGTGCGAGCAGCACTAAATTGAAAATAATCATGAGCAGGTAAAAGAGGTAAAAGTTCGAGAACATGTAGCGTATCTCGCCTAGCCAGCAATAAAACGTTGCATCACCATACATATTTGCTGCGTGTACGTGTACAATAATTAGCCAAATATACACCCTCTTGCACTATCTTTGCATACCCCTGAGATGATAGATGACAAAGCTTGCTCCTGGCACTATTGCAACGGCCACAAACCATGGAAATCTTCGTTGTCGCGTAGTCTCGGATTCCCCTCCAGCAATCCAGCGATAGAGATTATAGGCCATGCAGCAAACCCAGATACAACTGGCAAGATTGCCTGCCTGTATAAAAGCCGCTTGGACTCGGCACAGCGCTAGGATATGCATGACGCTACGGCCGACAGCGCGAGTCACAATAGTGACAAGGTCAAAAAGTGCCAGTACAACGACGAGTTTGTCCATAAAATCAATACGACTGCGCTCGTATAGTAATTGCATGTGTTGTTCATGAGAGAGCTTGAGTCTCCCTAAGCTGCACCAACGCATGTAGCCAAAGTGTATGAGCACGTAGAGCGTACCGATGAGCGACATCGTACTGGAAAGGTACCCAACAAGTTGTAGCCGCACCTCCTCCGCATTTGAGAGCATCGCACTAGAATTTGTGTCATGGCGATTGCTCATGCCTTCGGAATAATAGGTGAGTGTAAGCTAGAGGAAGTCCAGATGTGGATAGCCTTCGTTATCAGTACAGAGAGTGGGAATATAATGATCGGGTCGTTTGATTGGTCGGTTGCTTCAATCAGAGTAGAAACGAGACAGGAGGCAGCATTGGGTCAAAACGTCAATTCATTAACTCGAAAAAGCGCAGTATGCGCTTTAACGTTCTTGGTGCATGTATATGATGTCACTTGGCGATTTAACATCTGCATACAAATAATTGTGTCATTTGACGATGCAGACATGTATATGAACTACGAGGATAATGCGCTCGATGACGTTTTGTCTATCATTCACTGCATAGAGCATACCGTCCGATGACGTTTAACATTTATTAGAAAAATTAGCTGACTGACATTCATAACTCTGGATTCAAAAGAAGCGAGTCCAAGATGTGTGCATATTAGAAAGATATCTTTCTTCTAGTCTAGTACAAAGTGACCGCCATGGCCCATGGCAAAGTTGCTGAGCGTATCCATATCAGCGTTGTGCTCTCGATTGATCTCACGTACAATATCCTTGATGGAAAGCATACCGATTAGGTCACTGTCGTCGTTCACAATAGGTACATGGCGAATATCCTACAAATGTAACATTCAAAGTAAGCAACCACAGAACACAAATGATCATGGCCATTTCAGATGAGCATACACTTGAGAGCATTTTGGTCATCAACTGACTGGGTGTCTCGTTCGCCTTAGCAACAATAAGACGAGCTCGGTTTGTCATTATTTGCCCCACAAGAGTGTTCTTGGCTGTAAGCCCTTGTAACTCTACTTTTTTCAAGTAGTCGCGCTCTGTGACGACTCCTACAAACTTGCCGTCGTCGCCACTAACGGCCAGGCAGCCCAAGTTGATACCTGCCATGCGTTTTAGCGCCTCAAACACGGTGGCTTTTGCAGGGATGATGAAATTGACGCCGTTGTAACAGGATTTGCCCATCATGTCTTTAGCCAAACCTTTTGCATACACGTTGCGAGTAAGAGCAGGTGTCAATGCGCCGATGCGCTCCGACATGACGCGGGAGGTTAACAAGATGCTCATGAAGTAAGTTAGATATAAGTAGGGGGCGTGAAAATTTTATCACGGAGAAATTGAAAGATCATCTTCATGCTGAACTTTATTATATTATAATTGGTTAGCCGGCCAGCCCTAGCCTCTCTATTTTTTTCATGTGACTCATATTTGCTTTCCCCGTGCCTCGCCTAGTCCCTGTATTTTAAACAGCACGAACGGATACATTGGTTGCTCTCAATTGCCATATTCTCTGAATCGATTGAAAAATTGTTTGAAGATCTCGATCAGGCTTGTTCTTTTGACTGCCAAATTGCTGAAACTCTGCCAGCCACTATCTGATTAAATCTCCAGCCAACCCGCAGCAGCACCGTTCCTACTATGATTCTTCGCTTGAGCAAGCCGTGATGTCGCTGTCCAAAGTGCTCACTTCTTCTTCCACTTTCACAGAGTTTTTGCAGCGAGATAGAACAAGACACTAATCACGAGCAAAGCAATGGCTGAGCGGCCAAATCGTCCAGCTTTGAACCTGTAACAGCATAAAAAATGGGGTGGTGTCGTTTTCTAGACCATCATACGATTGACATGGTGTGGGTCATGTTCTCACCTTACCTTTACCATGCTTGCATTGCATTTATGCCGAATAAATCAAGATTGACACTTGTTAAGAGGCCGCTTCAGGTAAAAAAAACATACAGCCAAAGCTATCATCCCCTTGCAGATTTTATAACTCAGCGCTATTTGTTTGCTCATGATCAGAGAAAGATAACTAAGTGAGGCGGAGCCAAGAGAGCAGCTAGCCAGCAGCTCATCTAAATGGATTTGGGTCTCGCATTTGAAATTTAACATTGGTTTTTGAAAATAATTAGGCGCTCAGTGACATCTGAAACGCCTTAAGAGCATCTCAGCTATCAAGCAGCGAAACAAGTAACAAGTGCAAAACATACATAATTTTAAAGCCTGCTATTTTCATTATTTTAAGTAACTAGACGATACATGCTAAAGTTTACGAAAGTCTCCTCCTCGTTGCTGATGTTGTTGACGCTGTGCTCGAGCATCTGCTCGCTTTTTTTGTTCTAATGCCAGTGCATCAGCAAACTCGTGTAATGGCAAGCCATGAGGATCGAATACGCGCGGAGAAAAGTTAGAGTGCTGCTCATCGATACCAAAATACTCGACTACCTTTTCGAGAATATACGGATTGCGTACTTCCTTCTTGTCTTGCAGCGTTGTCTGAAAATCCTGACCACGATCTTGCTGCACCCGCAAAAATCGCTCGATACGTTGCTGTGCCTCGCTATTTTCATTTTGCGGAGTGACTGCTGGTGGGATTCCAGCACGTAGAAGCATCATTTCCTCGTCTTTGTCATCAGCATAATGATCTGGTTTATCGACGAAATCGGACTGTAATATTTCACTTGCCTCTACAACCTTACTATCGGAGCTTGGTTCTACATCGGTAACGGAAAAAGAATTTTCTGGTGAAGACTTTATAGAACCTGGAGTTGGCGAAGCAACAGCAATGACCGACGGGGTATCGGGAAGTAATGCCGGGTCTTCTTCTTCATCCGTCGATGAACCATAAGCGACCACAAGTGAGTTCATAGTGATCTGTGTGCACCACACAAGGAAGATTTTTGTTTATTACACAAACTTTGCGGTTGTTTATAACATCTAAATGAATGTGCTCTTGTTATCCTAAACACATTTCGACTCTGTGGTACACTCGGCATAAGTATGGTAGAGACGGTACCCAACGGGGTAGCGATACTCATCTTCGTCGCTCAATTAAGATGTGGCGAATATTTTATATTAACAAATTTGCGCTTAGTGCACGTCAAATATCTCTAAGCACTTTCACTATGATCATTCGCGAAACGCGTCTAGTAATGAAGATTTACGTGCACATTTTTCAATTTGAGCTAAGGCTGGTTCATCGTTTTGATCAAAAATTGAATCCACAGATTTTAACTTTGCCGACACTGCTGACATGTCGGCGTGTCTAAACATTCTTGTGGTCATTTCTTATTTGTGAAGAAGCTGTCGACCCCTCCTTTTTAATTTTTCCAAGAAAATGGCATTGCTATGGCTGCAAGTAAAAGTATTCTAGCTTGTTTAGTAGAAAGCTGGCGAGTTGAGTCTCACTAGGGTCACTGGCAAAGATGTTGTTATCAAAACCGAAAAGATGTTCCTGAATCCGAAAGGTGGTACGCCATAGAGAAGTAAATTTAAGTCTCAACTTGGGTATGTGACAGCTGAAATGGACTTTTAGAAAAATAACACTTGTAGACGTGACTTGGGGAATATGTGTGATGCCATGCATTATCGATAGTGCTTTCGATTAGTGTTTCAGTTACGGATATTCATTGCAGACGGTTATGTAGTCGTTTATAATGATCTGGATTAATAGGGTAGGTAATAAGGTAGCAAACTTAGAACCTAAATAATACTTGCATTGGTTGCACCAGATTAATAGCGATGAATCACTTCCACACTCGCTACAGCCAACAATGGTTCAGTGTGTGTTAATTAGTACCACCGGGGGTTTAAGTTGAGATTGACCCTCGCTGGAATGCGTCTCCTGCAGCAGATCATGGTTGTCAAAGACAAATACCAAGTCACGGAACCACAAATGCCACAGTTCTTAAAATCTTGTTAAAGTAGTTAAGATCCGGTACCTGAGATAAATGCGGTCGACCATGCGCCTCATCGAGGTGTGAACAGCGCTTTGTATTTTCTACAACCGCTCGGCTTTTCTTATCCGTACAACTGTGACGCGCCGGCTCCAAGACTTTGAGATCGATTGTGGTGGGGCATATGAATGAACTTGGCGGACAGGTTCTGGTGCTACAGTGCCGATTGATAATCAAACAAACTGGTGTTGCTTCTGTGCGGTCGGCCATCGGTGTATGAGTTTTTTTCTTTTCCCATAAAAATCGCCAGGGACATCACGCAAATTGTAGTCGATACAAAGCTGCTGAAGGAGTCCGAGCGGCTAAAAGAGGAGTATATTTTCGGTTACTGAAAATGCAGAAACATTCAAAGGCAAGAAATACAAAGATCACAAACTTGGCCCGCCACGCACTGGTTTAACGGGCAAGGGATTTAGTTGTGCCAAGTTTGGCCGACTACCCATCTGAGAGTTTGCTCGGCAGTGAAGGTGCAGCTTAAAAGAATCAACCAGGTGGTACATGACTTCTCACAGGAGGGGTTTGTTTCAGAACAGAAACATGAGTACATGTCTCATTCGACAACCGCAGACTACAAAAATCCGCTTCTTAGAGGAACCGGGGTGGTAACAGTAATAGGCTTGTATGGTAAGGGCATTCGTATAATTGTAATTCTGCGTATTTCGGAACGACAACTGCTATGATACGGTAAGCCTGTAAAATGTGGAATTTTCACGTTCTTGATGCATTCTTTTCATTCACGAATTCAGCAACTTTTTGGCTTTCGGTTTTAACAGGCATATATTTTGAAGTGTTGGAGTGCACATTAAAAGTTTTATTTAAGGAATTGTCTAGGAGTGAAAACCGGTAGGGGCTCTAGTATGCTCGCAGGGGCCACCCAATCGTAGTCGCTACGACAAACGAATCGGCGATCGATGAAAGAAATTCTAACGCAAAGCACGCTGTGTGTGATGGGACCTGGCCCATTACACGCTTCAGTTCTGTTGTATCAGGACTGGAGGCACTTATCAGGTAAGGAAGGTTTAAAGCCTATTGGCTGTAATAAAAAAATTCCACTTCACCTTTTCTCCTCTTTACGTAAGTCAACGGCTCGCCGGAAGTAAGCAACACGCGGTGAGGCGTGTCAGTTTACCTAAGCCTTCCTCAGTAACACTGTGTGTACACGGACGGACAATTCCCGTTATACTTGGCTGCACTTGTAGTGTTTCTGACGCCGACTACTTTGATGGATTTATCGATGGATAATGTGGACAACACAGGCGGTGGTCGTCCTCAGATCAACAGGGAGGAATTTTCGTTCCTAACACACTCGCAACGGAAGTGTGTGGTTATGCTGCGAGCTTTAATTGGTGATCACGCGGTTTCCGATATGCTCCAATGGCGAAAAATCAACGCTTAACGAATTTTGCTGCGTATGAGCAAGAATTATTGGTATTTTATCGCAGCACATAACAACGCAGTTCCGTCACCTCCTCCACAAGAGGTAGTGAAACCGTCGGTACACACGGAACGTCTCGCAAAGGTGAAAAGCTTTCATGGAAGCGGAGATGAAAAGCTTGCGTTCTGGCAGCGAAAAAAAAACATCGCTATCATGATGGCTCAACTTCGTGATGACCATAGTCTAATGGTCGTCGCCATGTCGCATTTGAATACCCGTGCGAAGGAATGGGCGATGGCATGGGAAGTCAACCGCCCTGGCTACTTTGCCACATGGGCAAGAGTTGAAGAAGGCAATGAAATCGATATTCCTTCCACCGAATATGGCATCACGACAACGGTCAAAGTTTTTGTCATGCCGTCAAGACGGCGGCACATTGTACGACTATTTTCAGAAGCTCCGTTAACTGCGTGTGAGTATGGCTAGCAAACCACTGCCAAGGCAGTTATGGTCACTGTGTAACGGGGTTACACGTATCCTTGTATAAAAGGGCGGGTCACACAAGATGGTGTGATCGTATATAGATGTGTATTACACAAGTTGGTGTAATCACACAATGGTGTGGACGCATCGTAACAAGAAGCCACCACGTGGCAGGATTGCCAATAGTAATGCATGTCACTATATTAAATAAGTTTACTATACTAATTAGGTACTACTATTTTGATTAGAAAAACCTAAGGTTTTAGATACTGGCGGCTCTGCCGCAGCCAAAGCAATTGTATACAGTTTGAATTTTGAGCAGAAGAGCATCGTTACTTTGGTTCCGATTTCAAGTACTCTTGGAGGTAGCGGATTGCGATCCGCTACACTCGTACTGGTTTTTGTAAAGAACGTAAGGTCGGTGACCTCAACTAAATTTCCTTTAAGCAAAGAGCTACGGCAGCCCCGCTGAAATTAATAGCACTCGTTGTCGATCTACTTCTGAGTCGTTACGAATTATCCTCTTTGAGGATGCCGCAATACTCTTTTTTGCCCCCTGACATGCAGGACCGGCTTAACAAGGTGATGTCCCTGCTGGACCCTGAGGGCGTGGAACACCTTGTTTTGCTAGGGCCCGAAGCGATAAATGCGCACCTACATGCGTTGTCAAGCTGTGAAAATGCTCTGCTAGAGCACCAGCAACAGAAGCTGTCGGTGTCGACTGCGTCCATGACGCCACCGTCGACGACGGACCGACCCAGGACACTCATGATGAGTGTTAAGACTTCAGTGGGTAAGGATGGAGAGAATCTTCTGCTCTGGGTAAGAGAGCCCGAGATGGCTATGGCATCTGCCATGCTTCAGAACGAGCAGCAGCGTAGCGCTAGGTATCTCCAAGCTCGGAAGCCGAGCGCGAAATGGGCACTTACCTGCGGTGCTTCGGTTTAAACGGCGTTCCCCTCCTGGTAGGAGCTGAAGCGTCAGATTTTGCGAGTTTTAACTCACCGCCTCACAAGGCGTATGGCGTGCGATAGCGTTTCCTTGCCGCTCGACAGGGCAAAAAATAGTTGGTAGACTTTATTCAAGAGTCGAGAACTCTCATTACCGGGATGACAGCCGATCCTCTCTTCGCGGCGGTCGCAGTGGCCGTCTTTATGGAGGGCCTCCCAACTGGCGTGGCCAGAATAGAAGTCTTTCGTGTGTATCTATTTCATTTTGAAGAAGCGGTGAATGTGGCATTGAATGCCGAATTCAGATTTAATTAGGCACGACTTGGTTGGAATGCACAACCTTAAAGCTCGTCGGGCGGGCCTGAGCCAATAATCTCAGCTATGTTGAGAAAGAGGAGGGAGAACTCCGAACTGCCGGGCAGCATTTAAACATCCGTCGGTGTTTTGTACCCGTCACCTTCGGACCGGTTGTCCCCTGCGCAAGGCACGAAGAGGTACATCAAACCCACGTCCTGCTTCTAACCAGTCTGGTTTGTCGCGGGAAAACGAGTGGACTCAATAGGCGCGGTTGCCCTACTGGGAAAGAACTTAGTTCTGTTGTGCCTAAAAGAGGTAGAGGACTCAGCCCTCAAGAGCCCCAAGCTCTTGGACACGGTACGTGTATGCAAGCCGGGCTTGCTTGTCGTAAAACGACCGTGAAGGGCTTTGAGAAGCCATGTAAGATCCTTGGATTTTTTTGGGCATCGGGCAAATATGCTCGTCGTCCCACGATCGAAGAAAGTCAGCTGTATGCTGAGACGTTGAATGCGCGGTTGAATGATACCGTCACTGTTCGCTTAATGACGGGGATTTGTGTCACTGTGCTGAGGGTCCCTGTGGGTCTTGGCGTCAAGTTTCTTGACTTAGATAGCGTGGAACGCTGCTTAGTCTTAGACTTGGATACAAGGTATGACCTTATATTTGGTATGGCATGATTGGAACACCATGAACCATGGATTGATTAGAGGTCGAAAACCTTGCGCTCAACGCGCACGTCTCCTAATGGAGCTTCGGTGAGTCATGAACCCACCTCTACTAGGAAGCAGAAGCGCTATTGGCGCGGACACTGGACCGGGACGTATCCGAGATGTCAAACACCGAAGGTTTTTTGGACAGGAGGCCCTAGCGTGGCTCGCAGGCTGATCGTAGAGTGGCACGTAACCCACTGAGCGCTGCATTATGTATTGGAGTAGTCGCTGCATGCCAGGAATGGCATGATCGGACTAGGGCCAGGGCATCTTGGGCAAGGCATTTCTGATGCGCGTGGAGTGGCAAGTTATTCACTGAACGAGGTCTGCGAAGCAGTATCTCTTTTATTGAAAACATCAAGGCTTTAATGGCGCAGTGATTGGAAACACTGGACGACGCCGAGTGCGTATTCCCGCTGGTCTCGATGAGACGTAAAACCTTCAATGAGTGAAAACGGTGAAGCCGTACGATATCTGCAAGATGTAACACGTCGACCCTGACCAAGGGTGTGTCTACCGTAGACGATAGTACACAGCTTTACACGTCATTGGTATGACGGGAGAGGGTGACGGTGACGTCGCCCTCGAGGCTATTCCCGTGTGGAAACTTCTTGAGCTGGACGAGATGTCCTTCGAAGAGTTTGGCGGTGCCTTAAAGATAGACAATTTAGCCGAGGCGGTCACTATAAGACCAAAACGAGAAGGTTAACTCGTCGTCGCTTCTAGGTGTAGCTGTCCTGGATTACACAAAGAGGGTACTGAACGCACGAAGTGGATCGTCGATCCTGAAGGATCCCTCGGATCCGTACTATCTCTCGCTAAAGGAATCTCAAGCTGCCATCTCCAAAGAGCCGCCGTTGGTCCTACCTCCGAACCGAGGTGTGCGTCATGCGATCGACCTAGTTCCGGGAAGCAAATACTGCGTAACACGCCAATGGCCCCTGTCAAAGGAGCAGTGCGACGTCATTGACGCCATCTTCCGTGCAAAGCACGACGCAGGAATGGTGCGTGAGAGTAATTCTTCTCATTAGACACCAATTGCAGCGGGGCTGCCGTAGTTTGGTGCTTAGAGAAAGCTAAGCTGGGGTCACCGACCTTACGCTCTTTACAAGAACTAGTACGAGTGTAGCGGATCGCAATCCAGTATCAAAACATTAACCAGGTAAAAAGACTGTTCCGCTCAAAATTGAAACAGTGTTTAAATGTTTAGTTGCGACAGAGCCGCCAATGTCTAAAACTTTAGGTTATACATAATTGATATAGCAAAACCTAATTTATCTGTATTACTACTGGCTATCCTGCCACGTAGTGGCTTCTTGTCACGGTGTAGCCGCACCACTGTGTGATCACACCAACTTGTGTAATCCACACCTATGTACGGTCGCACAAGATGATGCGATCCGCCCTTTATACAAGGGTACGTGCAACCCCGTTACACCCACGTTTTGTGTCCGAAAACCGAACGGCGAGTGGCGTAGTGTTAACGCCTACAATAAGCTCAACGCTGCCACCATTCCGACACAAACGCCACCCAGCAATGTAGAAGTAAATGGTATTTCAGCTGCTAGGCGCAGCGCGATCTATGGAGATACGATTGAGTTGTTTTCTTGGGTGGTCAGGGTTGATCATAACTCTAAGACTGAAAATCTAAAAAAAATATGTCTTATCGCCCAGGGCTGTAGATGTCAATATTCAAAGCTCGGGCTACACTGTCTAGTTACTGCAACGAGGTTGTCAAGAAATTTGCACGGAGGAAGCTTTGACCAAAAGCGTTCAACTATACAATACACATAAGAGGGGTTTGTACGTTTTTTGCAAAAGTAGAAACGTGATCTTCTAAGCAATTGAGTAATGAGGTCGCGTTGCTATATAAAAAATGATATTAATCTGATACTTAGTGCATACGGTTGATAATGTTCAAAAGGTAAAGTACGTGAGATGCTTGTGGTGAGCTCAACACTCCAAGTGTACCCCAAGTCTCCTTCACGGAAATCCATACTATTAATAAGGATCGATACTTTGATACTTTTGCATGTGCACAAACGTTTCATTACAAGTCTCTATACTGATCACGAGTGTATTATGTATACCTGAATAGTAGTAAGAGAAGATTGTACACAAGATTTTGTACGTACCCTGTTACCTAACCTAGATGCGGATCACTTTGAAACTCATATTTTTGCCTTTATGAGCCATTGTACTAAAAGGCGCTTGACGAGCACCCGGATTCACTTTACTGCTTTCGCCATACCGTGCCGTTCCCTGAGGGATTTGTAGCTGCAAAGCTCTCTTCCGTACACGCGCACGTGGGCAGACAATCCTCAGAGAAAGATGCGGTTCTTGGGATCGACACCCTTGGGGCCTTACAAGGTCAAGAAAGAAGAAATATTTCGTTGGCTACGGCCGCATCGAATTTTTGAGTCCTGAACAGACACTTATACCCTCAATTGAAATAAAGCGATGGAACCGCTCACTTAAATACATCCTTCCAAGCGCTCAACTTCTCCTCTGCGCGTGTTATGTGTCCCAACGCCAAGATACGCTGCAACCTCCGCCGCGAGGCTCACAGCACTATCCAGCCTACCACTAATAAGCTGAATCTGGATCGGGAAACCCGAGTTTCACGCTAGCAAGTGCAAGAGTCACAACGACTCGTGCAGATCTTTGCACGCCGTGGTTATAGTCTCAAATCATCCGACATTGCTTGCTGCACCGAAGCGCAGCCCTCACACTCCCATATATATAAGTCGCTTCACTAGCGATCCCTAAGCCTACAGAAGATAACCTCAAGCGTCCATCCGGTGCTTTGGAGTTGCAGTGGGTGGGCGAATCCGTATCTTCAGGAAGACATTTTGGTTGCTGGTGGGAGTGCCGAAGAGTGTCGCACTGAGTTTGCAAACTGAGCAAGGATTTCAAATTGCCCTACTTGTCTCACAGTGGCTCGGCGACGCGGACGCCCGACAAGATCGTCAGTTGTTACATGAATTTAGCTAATTCACACCACAGCGTGGAGTCGAAATGGAATCTATTCAAATGACGTTCTTGC